GGAAATCGTGCGTCATTTCTTTGTAAAAACTATTACACTACAGGCCTACCGTTTAGCTGAATCGGTAATACATATGAGCAGCGATAATAGACCAACCGGCGGTGACGCGCCGACGTAAAAGTGTCGGCGGCGGAGGCAATTCGGCGGCGCGAGCGCGACCATGACGAATTTGTATAACGGTGTATATTTTTACAAAAACCTTTATACAAATATTTAAATATTTTATTGAATTGATATTTAATTATTAATATGATTTCAATAACATATTTACATACAGTGAATAGCGACATCTCTAGCCGGGGCTGGTAGCTGTAAAGGTGTCTAACTAGGTAACGAAACACTTTCATAGATTTCTCATAGATGGCGCTATGGCTAAAAAGCCGTTGAAAAACCAAATACAAAGATACGACAACAAACACTTAGAAAAATTCGTTATACAAATACGTTTTCAAAAGTAAAATAAAATAACGTACTTTCTACAGTAATCAAATTTTTATCAGTTCGATCAGTCAATACTGATCGAAATGCGTAGATGCGTAGTGAAAACGGCGACGCCAAAAATTGACAAAACATCTTCGAATATAGAATCCACAAGCTTTTTCTTAAAAATGTAAATTTCTGGCTTCGCTATTTACACTATTGCCTGATCGAACTGAACTGACTGAACAGCGCGCCGATTGCATTTGCCCGTGGCGGCGGCGCGCCGACCATATCAAATCGGTATCTGTGGTAGGTGCACGGAGTGACTAAAAAAGTAACTTTTTTTATGTGGTAGATGTGGGAGACTAAAGTACCTACCACATTAGACAATTTGCTGTTATGTGAAATGATAATTTAAAAAAATCTTTCATTAATAATTGAATACAATAGACAAGCCATCAATAATTGAATACAATAGGCATCCTGGAAGGTGTACTTTGTATGGTAGTTGTACAAGGATATTGTACTGGGTACAATATAATAACTATTTAGGACTGCAATCACTTCTTTTTGAATATAGCAGGCTGTACTACTATATCAGTAATGCTGTTGAACAATCCGCCATTTTGCTGTGCCACAGACCTTCTAATCTCACACCACCTGTCCAATACTAAAGTCTATGTGTAATGTACTTTTTATTAACTAACTTATGCGTTGTGATGAACAATATGCGATATTATTACTTTTATAAATTCGTATACATGCATAGAGTATGTAACCAAAAATTGAGACGAAATATAATTTAATTTGTTTGAAAACTATTCTGCCAAACCATTACAGTGACAACTGCGCTCCGATTGGCCAGACCAAATTCGAAACAATTGGCGGGTGTCGTCAACTGTTTCACTTCAAAACGACCAGTTTAACTTGGGCTTTTCTATAATGGCCGAAAATTGAAAAATTACATATTTAATTACCGATGAAATGTGGTTCCGTTTGTTTTGTAAATAGATGTTTTGCTGTTTTTCCCACACCACCGAATGGAACAGCCCCCAATAGTTAGAGATATTATCTTTATTACAATAAATACAGAATATTTTTTGAATATACGGAGACGTACACACATGTCAGTTGTTGGCGCTGTACTATTTCAGCTTTCTAATTTGTGATTTCAGTGCAAACGAGAGTTGATATTTAAAAGTGATATAAGGCCCATTTGCCTGATGAGTTGCCAGGGATGGATTTATTTCTGGTTATATACTCGATGTTTAATGTCAATCGGGATAATTTAATTACCTTGTGTAGTTGATTTGATAAGCTGATATATCTTCAGGATTGGACACTTGCTGAAAAATACAAAGTTCTAATAAATTTCTAATTTAAGTGAATGTGAAGTTAGGAATATTTTGCACTAATTTAGAAAGAACCCTAACATCAAATGTCACTCACCAATTTCCTAACATTCGGCGCTTCGAAGTTCCAATGGTTGAAGCAGTGCAAGAACATCTTAGCCAAGTCGTACATAGTCTGCCACTCTCGCTGAGGTAGTGTGTTGAATTTGTATAGGACGAAGTTGGTGATGGCTTTCGCAATTGAAGGCCGCTCGAATGGCGGCTGGCCCAGGGGGCCTTCGATGCGCGGTTGTGTGCGGGTAAGAATGCATTTGCGGAGAAGCTGCAAAAAACAATATACTTATTTCTGATACAAGTGCGGAAAGTTAGTCATTATCCATGAGTCTCGAGGCTTCTTGGCCCGAACCAGAGGCGAGGATCAAGACTCGAGACAAGTGAAAATGACAAATCCGCACGTGTATCAGATGACGTTTTTTAATATATTTGCGAAAAAACTACATTGAAAGTAAAATAAAACAGTATATTTTAGTGGCGCGACGCGCAGCGGTCTTAGCGGTCAGCGGTAATACTCACCTCCAGTCATTGTTAATACTCAATCAGTCGTCTTTATATTAAATATTTTGGTATTTTTTAATGTAACCCGTTGTTTTACAAAACACCTACGCAATTTAAACAAATAAGATGTTTGTAAGTAAATATAAGTTTGAATGACGAATGACTTACGTCACAAAGCACATAAATATTAAATAAATATACAACCTCTTTAGTTCTATGTTTAAGACTTGAAACAACAGTAAATGAAAAAAAAAATGGAAAGTAAAAAGCACTAGTGCGTTTTGTAGTACGAAAAATACCACGTTTTGAGCAACTGTATTAAAAAATATCTTTTTTTATATCATTTAAACAGACAAACTGTCATACAAACTGTCCCATCTGGTGAAAGCAACATATGGACTGTCCCACCTGACAAAAAGTAATTACCTAGAGTTGCAATGATCATTCGGTTACTATTTGGTATTCGGCCTGTTTTGTGCTATTCAGCCGAATACCAAACATTGGATCACTATTCAGTCGAATACAGAAAACCTAAAAAAGGACGGATGAAAACAGGAAACAGTAAATTATCATGTAACTTCTGTTGACGCGGAACATTAGTAGCAGTAAAGCTCCTTGTAAAAGAGTTCGTTCAGGGAATTACCGCCACCTTACCTATTTCTGCCGCCAAGCAGTAATGCAGCATTACTGTGTTCCGGTTTTGAAGGGTTTTGAAGGGTGCTGGTGAAATTACAGGCACGTGAGACTTATCAAGTTATAGATAGGCGTGTAGCTTATCATCAGGCGCACGGCACGTTCGTCCTGTCATTTGATATTATAAAAAAAACATACGCTCCAAGAACGAATAGTTCATGTCACGCACGTTGTCGAATATTCGGTAATGCGCAATTCAGCCAAAGGCCGAAAATAGTATTCGTTGCAACGCTAGTAATTACAGTGGAGGTTACACATTTCTAGTGTAAGCTAACACACTGTGCCATACCTGGCAATAGCAAAACTAAGTTCAACAGGACCAGTTTATACAGTTACTACTACTCGTATACTGATAATACATTGTAACTACTTACTTTAAAAAGATAATAATAAACTCGCTTCGTGTCATGGTCGTCTTCCCGGTGCATTGACATGAAAATATTCTCGACATCGACCACCGCACCGAGCAGACGGTTCACTTCGCTAACTGAAAGTCCTTGGAGCTGGCTCACGTGCTTTTCTAAAATACAAATGTTTCAATGTGAACTTCATCCTAAGTAATATTATAAATGCGAAAGTAACTCTGTGTGTTACGTTTTCATATCTAAACAGTTCAACCAAATTTGGTAAAATTTGATATAGTGTTAGATGGGACTTAGGAGTAGGGCAAAGCCTATTATTTTATGTCAGAAAAGTCACGTTCTTGCTCAATGTTGCCATTGAAATCACAATTTTTTTATTATTAATTAATTTTTGTTAATGATGCCAGCAGGCTGTCTTTCACCTACTACGTGGCTACTGTTACTTGCCTAACTGAAGAAATATTTGTAATAGAGTAATAAATAAAATTAGAGGAAAGATTAGTTAATTAATCCTCTAGTCAATACCTAATATGTGATTGCAGTTGCGGCAAGGGTCGCTGAAACTAGCCAAAGGCTGGTTGTCAGCACGTGCATTACCCTTGCTTGCCTGTTGGGGCACTGGAGTTTTCCATCCATTGCATGTGCATTCAGGAGTCTACAAAAATAAAAGTAAATGAAGCAATATTTGTATAATTAATACACAAATGTAATATGTAATTTCCTTGTGCAGATTATTGTAAATAACCGCTAATCACATTAGAAAATAAACTTTTTTTCAGATCTATATCATGTATATTTAATACACCAACGAGTCACAAGTGGGAGCTGTACAAGGCCGAAACACAGGTTTCTTTGAAAAAATAAATAAATGCAAATTCAGATTGGAAAAAAATACTTTTATCTTCATTGTGTAACAATTTTGAAAATTTAAAAACTTGATATCTTTGAATGCAAATTTACTTCCCTGGTTTAGACCTGTGTCCTCAGGGACAGCACACTTTCTAGAAATACATTGGTCTTAGCTTTTACAGTTTATGCTGGCAACCTTCCTGTAAATAAGTTCTCTCTTTTATAATAAAAAGAGTGGAATTTTCGTTATGTCAATTTTGTAACAAACTTGAAGATAATGTTGCATTATATGTGACCAATTTAAGTTATAGGATATTTGGTAGGTTGGGGAGTTAAATGTTGAGTCGGGTGACATGTTTGGAGAAGAGGGCTAAAACTCTGTACTCATATGCGAGGTCTTGCCTCCGAGAAGACAGCAATAAAGAAGAATAATTTATAGACATCACAAGGCCGACATTGACACCCAATGTTACAGGCCTTATTAAAAAAGGGTTTTAAAAAAAGATTATACAATTTATCCTTACCTGACAAGCAGAGTATATTGCCAACTTAAGCAGCTTCTTATTATGAGGCCAGTTGTAAACTTGCTGCTTGCGTTGCTGTATCCTCTGCAGGTTAGACTGTCTGGATGCTTGGCCCTCTCCTGCTGGAGTGTTGGCACTGCTGGATGCTGCATCTTCTGCGTTGGCACTTGAGGATGCTAAAAAATAAATGCAATGTTTGTCATGTTAGTTGAATAAATTTGAGTAAGATTGATTCTCATGAGACCAGTGAAGTAGCATGGGAAAGACTTTTGCCTAGTAGTCAATATAACATTTGAAAAAATGTACCATAATAATAAGTGCAGACTATATAGATTCGTTTCCACCAAGATTGTACCATCAAGACAAAATGCTTCCAAAATCGTTGTTATGCTATGTGTGGAATTTTTTTAAATTATATACCTGCCCCCATAGCGTGGCTACTATGAGCGTGGTAAAATTGAAATAAGCATGTGCTGTTGGCTATCTCTATATAATGTCTAAATTAGATCTGATTGAGACAACCAATAGCGCGCCCTTATTCCAATAATGGTGTGCTTTAAGCTTCGTCAATTCTTCCAATCAGTTTTAAAAAAAGAATTGCATAAGTGGTTTTTAGATCACTTAATTTTGTTCTACTCAGCTGACGATTTTATGAAATATAAAGCATACAATAATTTAGATTTATTTATCTAATCTAATTAAATTATGACTTTTACCATTATGGCATTTAGGCATTAAGGCATTGGCCTTACTTTCTCAAAGTCGTATATTATAAAGAGTGATTATTTAGGAGATGATAGAACTTTCTATTTAATTGAAATTTCTTATCAAGGGTGTTAATTTGGATGCATTACTTTAAAATAGGTACAAGCCAGTGTGTGAATATGAAAGAAATGTTATGTGAAATCAGCCTGCAAAATTTATATATACAATCCATTTTTTGCATTTCAGTAACTTTGTGCTTTAAAATACGAGTTTGAAAAATACGGGGACAATGTCCTGTTTCAATTAATTTAATTTGGTAGTGCAATGTTTAATTGTTTATTATCATTATACACACTTGTGTTTAAGGCTGAATAGGGTTAAGTTCTAATTAAATATTACGATCAATATTTATAATGTACCATACCCTATTCAAATTGAATAACTGAATTTGAATTTCACGAATATCTATATAATGCTTCGAGAATGTAGTAGTAGTTGAACAGTATGAATAAATATTTAATTAGCTTTTACAACATGAATATCCTCTATTGACGAGTGCAGTCGTTTGTGGAGACGAATATAACGATACGTATAGTTAAATTTGTAATATTCTGAATTCCCGCGCGCGATCACCCCTACAAAATTTTGCCCTTTACAAAGATCAATCAAGTTTCTATAATACACAAGTTCTTTGCACTCTTCTTTTACTCAGCGTGGACCGTAGAAGATCTGTGATTAGTTTCAAAGATAAATTATTGTTTATTTACCTTCATGTCCTTGTGTTTGGGAAGAATCTGCCTCCGTGCTCGTCATGGCTATATCTCCAATATCATCAGTCATTTGAGCAAATAAATGCGCTAAAAATAATTAAAACTTTGTGCCGGCAATTCACTGCTTACACAATTTATTTTATCAACTATAGGGACATTTTGCACTTTTTTTATCAAGAAAAACAAACACGGACCAAACGGCCACCATTAGCGTTTTGAAATGTCAGATTGCGTGACGTCAATCGCTCATAGCGCCACGACTACGCAACAATTTCTAAACGATTGTAAAATTTTTGGCGGTAATTTTCAAAAAAGAAAAAGAATGGTTGGGTACATACCACACACCTTAGACTATATACACTCATTTATTGAAATTAGATCACCAATAATAATAATACATTTATTCACTTCTACAGGCCTAAATGGGGGCGGTAAGAGACCCAGAAAGAAATCGGCTACGTCCAAATCTCCCCGTAGAGGCTTACGGGGAGATTTGTAATTTCATCTAGGAAGACTCTTAGACGGTGTCTACTGAGCTCTCGACTCTCGACTACAACTTATGAACATCAACTAATATTAATTAAGAGATTGCTCAAACTGACTCGGTTCGATATTAATCTCCGTGTAGTTCATATACAGATATATGAACTACACTAAAAAAGAAGAGACGACAATACTGTGCGGAATATATTAAATTCGGATTCATTGAAAATCCCACAAACCCATCGCGCCTTTGTGCCTTCTATGTATAAAAACATTTTCGAATAAAGCAATGAAGCCTTCAAGAATGCAAGATCATTTGAATAAAATGCATCCAGATAAGAAAGACAAGAATGTAGCATATTTTCAAGACCTAGAGAAGGAGCATATTACTCAGCCAGTGTAGCAAAACTCTTTTAGGCGGCTGCTAAGCAAGATGACGACGGACTTCGAGCTTCGTACAATACCTCATTGTTAATTGCTCAAAAAGGCAAACCACACAACATCGGAGAAGAGTTAATTTTGCCAGCAATAAAGGAAGTAATAACTACTGTGCTTCATAAACAGGCCGCAGATATTTTCCGAAAAATTCCTTTGAGTAATAATTCTGTGCAAAGACGAATTGATGAAATGGCTGAAAACATTGAAGAATCATTGTGCAATTATCTGAGGACTAGTCAATTCTCAATTCAGCTCGATGAGTCCACTTTACCAACTAATGAAGCATTGTTGCTGTCTTACGTGAGGTTTATTAAAGATGAGAAAATATATGAAGAACTCTTGTTTGCTAGAAATTTAGAGACCGATACAAAAGGCGAAACCATATTCAATACATTGGAAAAGTTTTGTGATGAGAAAGAGATTCCCTTGAAAAATATTATATCAGTTGCTACGGATGGCGCTCCGGCTATGACAGGGTGCCATAAAGGCTTCATAGCGTACTTATAAAATAAAATTCCAGATGTCCTTGCTGTACATTGCGTTATTCATAGACAACATTTGGTTGCTAGAAATTTAAGTGAACGACTATTTCAATCACTGCAATAATATGTCACCAAAGCAGTCAATAAAATCCGTAACAGCTCTTTGAATGATAGATAATTTCATCAGCTTTGTGTTACTAATGACAAAGATTTCAACCATTTGTTGTTTTATACTGAAGTTCGTTGGCTATCAAGAGGCAATTATCTGATTCGATTTTAGAACCTGTTTGACTCTGTGATAGAGTTCATGGAAACTAAAGATACAGAATTACGTAACAAGCTCATTACATCAAAGAATTATATAGCTTACATGACAGACCTGTATAAATTGTTCAACAACATGAATCTAAAACTGCAAGGCGATGAACTAAATTTAATTAAAATAAAAAATATCGTTGCTGCTTTCGCAGCCAAACTGCTTCTATACAAAAAGAATATGGGCAGACGTGACTTTTACAATTTTCCGAATTTGTCAGTATCCTGCAGTAACGACGACTTGTTTGCCTACTGCCAACATTTGGAAAACCTCCACATTGACTTCTCCGAACGATACCAGGACACTTTGAACTTAGAAATACCAGACTGGATGTTGGATCCGTTTTCAAATGCAATATCACCTCAGCTGGAAGAAGTTCTTATAGAATTGACAACGAACGATGAAATAAAAACCAAGTTCAAAAACGGCTACCAAGAATTTTAGCTACAAAAACCGATCCCGCAATTGTACCCTGGATTGTGGTCAATCGTTCAATGATTCTTGATAGCATTTCCATCGTCATATTTGTGTGAACGTGGTTTTAGTGCTGTGACAACGCTGCTTACTAATAAAAGAAATCGTTTGCATTTTACCGAATGTGGTGACTTGCGGCTGTTCTTGAGTAAATTGGAACCCGATATCAACAAACTTATTAAACAGCATCAGATTCATCCTTCACATTAGTTTTTATATTAGAATCAATTATGTTTGTTTTATTTTGAATAAAAGATACTCTGTCTGAATACAGTCAATTCGGGTAACTTTGAACATTTTTGCGTTTTTCTAGTAATTTCAAATTTAATTATGTTTCTTAACAATTACTTTATTAACTGAATAGTGTTCTTTTAAGCCCTTTTTTCGTTCTTATTGAAGGAATTTAGTAATTATTCAACAAAACTGTTCTAGATTTGCTCCAAAAGTCACATTCAAAGTTGCCTTGAATTTTGGGTAACTTTGAATAAGATTAGCCTTCGATATGGAAACCGTATATTTTGTAGATATTTTACAGTTTGTGTAAGATTATACGACATATTCATATTTTTTAGATGTGAATCTGTCCAAATATTCCTGACAGTGCGTTCAAAAACGACATTTGACTTGGTATTGCCATAATAAAACGAGACGAACTAATTTAGTTGAAATGAAAAACTTGTTTTTTTTTTAGATTTTTTAATTAATGCGAAAATGAAAATTTTCTGTTTAATAATAAATTCTACGCTTATTTAGCTATCAAACGAGATCAAAATGAATCACCTATAACAATTATTTTAGGCAAAGTAAATACATAACAAAAATCTATTTACCCCACTCCTTGAATAAAATGTCGTCATCAATATAAATACGGCCGCCTTTTCTAGACAGCTGTTGCTCTTTTATAATATTCACAATATCGGCTTTATTAACTTGACATGTCTCAACGTTAGAGGGCCAAGACCAACCTCCTAAAAAGCATTTTTGGAGCACTGAGACAGTAATTTCCAAAGGAGTAACTTTTAGAACTCTCCCTGGAAACAGACTACCCTCTTCTCTAAAAACACAGTCAAACACATTCAAAGTTACCCAAATTTCTCGTTTTGGTAACGTCGTCAAAATCTAATTCGTTTTACGCGTAAATACAAAACCAAATTAAATTATTCTTTAAAAAAGCGATATATAAACCTCTACTTAAGTGCGGAAACCAAAACTTACCAGTCAATATTCAGATTTATATATTTAATTCCGATTCTAAAACTGAGCAACAAATCACACCAAACTACTTTCGCCAAGAAAAAACCGCGAAAGTTTAAAAAAATACAATTTAACATTACTTTTTTCTTTCATAACTTTCGTTTAACAATTTTGTTCCGATTTACACAGTTTCAATACTAAAAATAAAAGATTGCCATACATAAAATAAATTTTTAAATCTTTTACGCAACTACGTTCAAAGTTACACCACGATCCAAAGTTACCCGAATTGACTGTACTGTAAAGTTGCGTTTCAATAATCTTTCTCATTAGCCCATAAGAGTTAACTTGAGACTTGAGCGCTGTTGCGTACTGCAACTGGTTAATTTGAAGTTATAGTGGTTTTTAAGTAGGTGAAAAAATGGGGGCGCTAAAAAATAATTTATTCTCAAAGTGGGCAGTAGGCAAAATAGGTTTGGGAACCCCTGTTGTAGAACAATAAGAACTACCTTAAGCGAGAGACTAGATTAAACTAATACAGATCTCCAGGCTCCCACCCTTTAAAAATAAGTTTTTATAAATAAATATAAATACGCTATGCAGCTTACAGTAAACAAATGTGCCGAGATTGACGAGTTGAGAGTAGGTTTGTTGCCGATGTAGTTTTTTACACATCAGCAGATGGATGCTGATTTTATGTATTTAAAAAAATGCAAAAATGTAGGTACATTCTTACTGAATCACGATCACAATGAAGAAAAATTAATAAAGTATTATTTAAATGATTTTGTGACATCTAAAACAAAAGAATCACTCTTCATGAAAACAATCAATCTGTCTAGCTTAATCGTTGTGGAATTTTCCAAAGTTATATGTTAAAAACAGCAACTGAGGTTTTTTCGGTTTACAGTCTGTTTCTGGAAGGTTTGTAAATTATTCCAGGATACCTTTTAGGTCATGTTACGACTCGAACATCCACAATGAATATCAACATCAATGAATGTGGTCGCGGATGCGGGTATTTTAATTTATGCAGTTTATCCGCGGATGTGGATTCTGATATTCGCAACAACCCTGGTTGAGAGTTCGTGTGCGTGTACGCATGCGCGTAAAAATGATCTTTTACTCTTTTTTAAGTGTAATATCATTGCATACCACCCACTTCAAATAATTCTTAAGTTTTTAGTAGCAGTACCTAGAGCTCGTTGTGAAAGAGTTTGTCCAACGTCCTGATTTTGATTCAAAACGTTATCGATCCGATCGGGTAGTCTCAAAATCAGATGAGTTTCTGAGCGAGAAGATGAACCTAATTCCTACTATATCTTTCTAATTTGTGAGTTAAATCAACTATTGTTCCGATTGGAAATGTCAAAAGATTCCGATCGGCCAGTTGTGAATCGCAATTATGCGTCTCGACTCGGAAAAGACGCAGTTTCCGAACGGGAGAGGCAATTCAAATTACTGCCACCTTACCTATTTCAGCCGCCAAGCAGTAATGTCAGCATTACCGTGTTTTAGCTTTTGGGTAAGAGTGCTGGTAAATTACAGACACATGGGACTTGTCAACTTATTTTGTGAATTTTATATAGTGAATTGTATATTATGTATTTTGAAAATTTTAATGTACACTTTATGAAGTGTACATTAGCCATACACAACAACCATATATTCATACAATACACCATATATTCACCAAACACTCAGTTGTTACTAATGTAGTAGGTACAAGGTTGCTTACTAACAAACTATGATGGTGTCTGAAAACAAAAGATTTTTTATTTTATTTGTAATGATGTAGACATTAATCTCCTCCGATCATTAATAGTACATTATAATTTACATTGTGCATTTAGCGCTTTTCCCGTTGTAGTTTGTTGGGTCTTAGGAGAAAGGAGAACCACATAAATCTTTCTAACTCCACCTGAGGAAGTACTAATATCCTATCAGAGGAAATATGTATATTGTTTTCCCTTTTTGGTTTATGTCAGATCTATTTGACTATATAGCTGTGCGCATTATAACAGCCATTATTACAAACAAGTTCACTGATTAGGCTTTAGTAGCAGTAGAGCTCCTTGTGAAAGAGTTCCTCCAGGGAAATACTGCTATCGGCACTGCTGGCGGCAGAAATAGGTACCTAATAATAATTAAGTACCTATTTCTGCCGCCAAGCAGTAATGTGAGTAGTGATGAAAGAGACTCAGTCTTTTAAGGCCTTTTAAAAAACCTCGACTAATTTTCAACGCCTCACGACTAGTCTAGTCTTTTAACCCTCAAGTCTTGAGTCATAAGACTAAAACTGAAGACTAATTTGAGTCGAAGCCTTTTAACCCTAGCAAGCTTAAAAGACTTATAGGACTAAAACGACTGGTGCCTCATAGCCTGGGGAGTCGCGAGCCTTATGGCGTGATTTTATCACATCCACAAGATATTTATTTTTAATACAGTTGCTCAAAACGTGGTATTTTTCGTACTACAAATCGTGCCAAAAGTTGGGTTTCTCGCACTAGTGCTTTTTACTTTTCCATTTTTTTTTTAATTTACTTTTGTTTCAAGTTTTAAACATAGAACTAAAGAGGTTGTATATTTATTTAATATTTGTGTGCTTTGTGACGTAAGTAATTCGTCATTAAAACTTACAAATACTATTTATGAACGTATCAAGTGGAGGTCCACAGTCTCTGCCTACCCCTGAATGGGTGACAGGCGAGATTTTTATGTATATGTTTGTTCTAAGTATTACAGATAAATTGTATCTCACTTCTGTGCACGGATTTCTAAAGAAGTGTAAACAAAAGTACCAGGACTTCATAATAAGAAAAGTGGTTACAGACCAATACTACATACACAAATTAAAAAAAACAGCACGTTAGAACTGGATTGCCATAGAATTTTTTAATATTGATTGTATTTCATTATTTTAATTTACTCGCAGAAAAAGTATTGTATGCAATAATTATACAATTAATTAGGTCTTAAAATCTCGTACTTATTGCTTGAATCACTCTTTGAATCCTAATTTTTATTATAAGTAAATAAACGTGATTATTTACTACACACTACGTAATTTTTATTTATAAACTTCGGGTTTAATAAGAGATAAAATAGGTCCAAGTCCATTGCAAACAACTCGAGTTGTTTATTATTAATAAAAACTCGAACCTCCAGTTTTAATTTTAGAGTCGAGTCCTGTAAAATAGATACGAGTCGTTATAAAACGCCTTAAAAGACTGAGTCTCTTTCATCGCTAAATGTGAGCATCACTGCGTTAGGTTATAAAGGGTTAGGGTGCTGGTGAAATTACGGACACATGGGACTTGTCAACTTATATTTCAAAGTATTGGGCGCAGTGCCAGTGCTCCGCAATCTTTGTGGTTTAAAGCACCGAATGGTACTGCACCTGTTATATAAAATATCGAATTCGGTGACATGACGTCAATTTCGACAGCAGTCAAACAGGTGTGGAAGGACGTGTTTGGGAATAGTTAGTAACTCGGAAGGTCAGTCCTGTGATTTGGTACAAGTGCCTACATACCTAATCGTTTACGCATTTCTTGTAAGTCACAGAATTATGTTATGGCCGCTGATAAATTCGTTTGTTCAGGAAATAAAACAAAGCATTTTTAAGAAGTTTATTCACTTAGTAAATTATCCACTGACTTTACCTTTCTTTTTACCTACAACCTTTTCTTTGTTTTCCTCTTTTTGTTTGGCATTATCAGCCTTTCTTTTAATCTTACTTATCTTTCCTATCACATCTTTGAACCTGTCGTCTTTTTTCATCAAACTTTTGTTTACTTTCTTCAAATTATCTTTGATTGACGCATCGATATCTTGTGCCTCTGTCTCTTTGACGCGATTATCGTTTTGCACTGCCTGATTTTGAGTTTTTATTTGGGATTGTATTTGTTGTATCTTGGCTAATTTTGCTTTCTTTGCGGCTTTTATTCGTTTTCGACGCATTTCTTCCAGCCTATAAACAAAAAAATGTAGTAAAATTTAAAAAGTTGCACTGGCAAACACAGTGACCACGACACGGTTTCGCGGGTATAGTCACACAGCCACCGAAACAATGAATTTATTGTAAACCAAATTTCTTGATCGCACAATTTCTGAATTAAATTTGATGTGAATTATTTTTTATCGGGTTATGTTAAAGACAGAGTCTATACGAAGCCAATTGAATCGATTGCTGCCTTCAGGTGGTCTATTTCGTTAATCACTTCACTAATTTTGAGTTTTGCTCAAAATGTGGTTAACGAAATAGACCCACCATTTTTCCAAAAAGTGATTACAAACTTTGATGAAAGAATCGACATCTGTAACTGTGATCGTGGTGGACATTTATCAGATATCATTTTTCATTCATAATTGCCAAGCCTTACTTTTTTAATACAATAAAAATTTGAATCATTCTCATCTAAATTTACTTTTTTATTTTGATTTACAAAAAGTTCTTGTTGAAAAACCCTGTATATTAGTTATATCTTATCAAGGGCCCATAGTACTGACCGTTGGGCCACAGAGGACGTCAAATCATCACAAAAAAATCACATGTCAAATGTCTGTATACATTGAACATGCAGTTACCTACTATTTGGTTCTAAGTAGATCAGTATGAGGAAAGGTGCTAAACAAACTTAAAAACTTTAACCTGTAAGCCGTAAATTTAATTTTGATATGACTTCCTTATTGCATCATCGGCGAATGTGTTTTAAGAAACTTTATCTACACACACTTACACACATATCATAAACTCTCTATAATATGTACAAAAACCGCAAATATCGACCAGCATAAAGGTAAACGGTTTTGTTGGAACAAATTTCTTATCCGTGAAAATGTTATTATTGCTTCATTATTAACATCGAATACGATGTTACGATGTTATTATTACATTCCAATTTCGAACATGTATGAAAAACAAAACAATTTGATTGGACCTCAATTCTAATATCAGTCGAGATGAATTTTTATTCGAAATGAAATGTTAATAGCAAACAACTATGACAATTTGACACGTTACTTGATATCGAACGATATGACAGTTGGGGCCGATTCTAGTTTGTCTATGAATTAAAAATAAAAACTACGGTTGTGTGACATGCGTGAGAAAAGTTTTTATTTGCCGCCATTTCGCCACTCGCCAGTCGTAACGTGTGGTTCCAGAACACATCACAGAGAGCTTATAACATGTGTGTAGATAAAGCATTGTATGTAACAATACATTATTAGGCATTAAAACACTCGTGAGATGTGAGAAACCCTCACTCGTATTTTAATGCCTTTCATTATGTAACAGTCACATAAACTACTATTGTAAGCCAATTTGATACTTAATTATAGTGTCTTTTTTGAAGAGTAAAGTGACAGGTCATTGCACAAAAGTGTTGCCCTCTTGCAAGCAGCTAGTGATTAAGTCAATAAATATTATATCGACTATCGACTGAATGTTGGTTACGTTTATGAAATAAAAAATATACGAACTCGTTTCATTTGAATCATCATCGGTCAATTATTTGTCCAACTGCTGGGCACAGGTTTATTTTGGAATAGTTAATTTTTGAAAATTCATACGTACATACACTAAGTTTAGCAGTATGTGTATAAAAACTACAAATGAGAGACATATTTTAAATTTTTACACTTTAATTTTATATAGATAATCAACTTCACTTGTTCTTATTAAAATATATGATTATGAATAAAAATTGATTTTGATACTAGTAAACCAACTGTCAAAATAGGAATAATGAAGGCAATAACGCAATAGTAATCATTAAAACTCTCTCATTAACCATTAAAAGTCTTTTACAATTCAAACATTTTTGGCAAAGTTTTACCTTCTCTAGCAATGTATCGATAAAACTGTCGACAACAACTACATGACCATTACAAATTTTATTAAAACTGGCAACCCAGCAAATGTCATTTTACTCCGTCTTAAAAAAAACAGACTTTACATTACATAAAATGCCTTTATACCTTTCTGTTCAATGCGTATGAAGGCTCTTAGAACTGAAAAGTCCTATATCTTACGGCATTGACTGTACATACATCGATAAACATGAACCAAGGATCCAATGAGAATAATAATATGAAATTATGAACTAATATTTGTAAGTCAAGGTCAGTCCAAACAATTTCGAATAGTGAAGAGCTTTCTCACCCCTCCTCCATCATCTCAGGGTCAGCTCCTGCTTGTATCCATCTCTTAATCCGATAGTTCTTCTTACGCTGTTCAAATTCTTCATTATCCAACTGAGCTTCCTGTTCTCTACGTGTGACGCTTACTGTTGTAAATACTTTAACTGCTTCATCATCTGCAGTCAAAAGATAATTAATTTTAATTTAATTTCTATTTTGTTATGCTTTTCACACACTAAATATATTCACAATAAATTTCATGTCGTAGTATAAACAAGCAAGTGAAAGGCCAACGTCTAAGGATCAAGTCACACTAAAAGAGCAGAGGCGCGCAGCGGCCTAACGCCGAGGAGCTAGCACCGTGCCTCTTTGAATTAGTCGCTATTTGTCTCGCGATGCCACACTATACATTCTATCACTTCAAATCAATTCTCTTTAGAAGATTCAAAATGCTAAGTAAACTTTACACCAAAAATGCTCCTCCGGCCGCTCTTTGTGAGTATGTGAGCAGGTGCTATGGAGACACACAGACAATCACAAACTACACACAAACTCACGAGAGAAATAACTGTAGGCCATAAAAACATTTCTCCTTGCAATCAAAATGGGGAATCGAACCCGGGACCACTGTGTGGCAGTCCAGCATGGTAACCGTTCGGCCACAGAGGCCAATTTTAAGACAATTAGTCCAACTTCTGCCTGTTCGGTGCGTCGATGCCTACACGTTTCTCGCATCGTAGGGATATCACATTAATATTTATTAAAGAATTAATTCACGGATTCTCGTGCTTTATTAAAATAGCCTTTCTCAAGGTACTTTACCTATTGATTATACTAGCATCTCTGATTAGTATTACGATTATCGGAGTATGATTATGAAAGTTTGTACATACTAACGATATATTAAGGGAGTTACCAAACTTATTAACGCGGATTCGTCTTGATGCGATCGTGTTTAACCATACTTGTCGCATTAAGCTGATTCGTCCTTAACGCGGCCGTTCGTGCGCCGTCGCGGTAGTTGTTTTTAAACCAGGATCAGTCGTCGTCGGCATGCGTACGGGCGCGATCGGAAATTCGCAGAGCGAGTCGCGTTCATACGAACCGATGCGAAACGCACGTCTTTTTCGCTCTTACATTCAAGGACATGAAGCTTTTTCCGACCGGCTTTAATGCGATTCTGCGTTAACAAGTGTGGTGACTCCTTTATAAATAAATAAAAAATTGACACAAAAATACATTTTAAATGATTTGAACCCTGAGTGAACACTTCAATTCTAAATAATAATGAATGGTGCGTTAATTATGCGAATATGTGCGGCCGTAAACGTACACCACCTTACCTATTTCTACCGCCAAGTAGCAATGTCAGCATTACTGTTCCGGTTTAGAAGGGGAAATTACAGGCACATGGCACTTGTCAATTTATGTATCAGGGTGACGGGCGCAGTGGCAGTGCCCCTCATATCTTTGCGATTTAAAGCTCGGTGTGGCACTGCAACTGTTATGGACAGGTATGTAGCTTACCATCAGGCGCATGACTTGTTCGACTCGGCACTTGATATTATATAAAAAACATTTACGCGCAGCATCTATGGTATTATCTATTTGAAAATTTAAGCACTCTAACCATCAATCTTATACTCGCTGAGTTTAGTCTTAATTTGATCCTCTATTTCGCCTAATCGCAGTATGTCATAAGGTGTAATGAGCGATATTGCCATTCCGCTTCTTCCAGCCCGTGCTGTACGGCCCACTCTGAAAAACAAGGCACCTACTTATTACAAAGGAATTTGTTTTGTCTCCAGCTTTCTTTTGCTCACTAAGATCGCGCATCTTCAGAACTTTAAACCTTATACCACATAACTAAATCAAAATTTGCTTTAACGACGAAGAAATTATTGAAATCCGACCGGATCGAAGGAATTTTTTCTGAGTGTTCGATCTTTGTATTAATAATTATAACAAACTAGTGGAGTAATTTCACAAAAAAATAATTGAATATCAATTCAATAAAAATTTAATTAATACACAATACAAATACATATAAGAAATACAAAATCCATCTTACTATAAAAATATCTAAGGGTATCTGACTCATTTTAGATTTCGTTATTCAATATGCTAAAGATAAACATATAATTATGTCACATATCGCCGGCGCGGCAAGCTGGGACGTGTTCTTAAATGAAAAGTTACTATAATATAAACTTCATTTCTGTTCCAATAACTCTACAGACGTTTTGGGATATGTTCAGTCTCTTTATAGCAATGCAGTCAGTTCATTGTAATTTATGTGGCCCTCAATGAAGTGCGACATTTTGTAAATGCCTATTACTATTTTATTCTTTACCGAAATTTGATTGTCTATCTATATCTGACCATTAATTCTGGAAGGACAATAAAATTATAAAATAAATTATAGACATGCATTTTTTATACTTGTCCAATATAGTAATATAGAGACAATAGAAAAGTCAACTCTGGGTCAATTTCTGGACCTTCTAAAATAAGTACATAAAGAAAAATCAAATTTACCTATGAATATACTCCTTTGGTTCTAAGGGCAACTTATGATTGACAACCAAGTCAACAGTAGGGATATCCAGACCTCTTGCAGCCACATTAGTAGCGACTAATGTACATTTTAGATTACTTCTGAACTGCGTTAAAGCGGCAACGCGTTCCTTCTGCCTCATAAATCCATGTAGGCATACATTGTCCATACCTATTGCGTTCATCATCATTGAAAGTACTTGACATTCTCTGAAAGTGTAATATCGTGTCATGTATGAATAAATAAATAGTTTTGATGACAGAAAATGAAAAACTTACTCAATTGTTGGTTAATTTAAGAGTGTAGTTTGTAATGGAGTACTTGACAGAAGTAAATATTTTGTTATAGTCAACTCGCATGCAGAAGCTGAAAATCTGAAATATGTATTTCGATGGCCCTTTTTAGCAAAACGATAGTAATATGTAACTTGTGTGGCACTATTAAGATTTTGAAGCCACAAACTAGTCTCGAGATTTCTGAATGTCTGTAACTACTGCTACTCATCCAAAGAACAGAGTCCCATGTGATTATAATATAGCGAAAAGAGAATAAATACATAATTTCGTTACTCAAACTAAGGCCTATGTAAAGGTGTTTTGAAAATTTATATAATCTTATTTCGTTTCGGAAATATAAAATCGAACAACGGTCGATCTGACATCCACAGCAAAGAAGAATGAACGAAATGTACTATGTCCTGAAAACAAGTAGTCTTGCACATAGGTCTTTGTTCTATGGATGAGTTGATCAATAAATTTCAGCTCTGTTGCTACAGTGAGCACCACTTATTTTACTTATTGATGATGTTTGTCAAATACCCTAATGAGCAATATTTATTAAATTTAACAATGAAATTATTTACGCGTCGCACAATGCATTATCTGAACTTCACAATGTGTCGTCATCATTTCAATCCATATGTACTCGATGTTTCAGTCGAAAGACGTCCATGGTTGGACATAGGCCACCCCTGAAGATCGCAATATATACCCAAACTAAAATACAATGTACTTATTGATTTATCCAAACACTTCTTGGCTTATTGTACATTGTCGCCATTTAAAGAGCAGATTAGTTTGTTTTGACAAGAAAAATATCTTGTTTATGTCTTATTTCTTACTTTTTAGTATCAGTGAAGACAATAACGTGCGAGCTGGGTTTTGTTTCCCTGTACTTTCTTAGCGTCTGTACGAGATACACGTCTCTAGCGTAGGCAGGACACACTACGTAGCGCTGGTCTAGAGTTGATACTGTCAACTGCTCGTCTTGTTCCGTCCATATCAATAATTTCTGCAATTAATTTTAAAGTACATTAAACATTGACACATATTATTATATAAAGCAAAGAATTGTCTGTTGTGACGTGTAAGGAAATTCCAAACCACTAAAACACTGCTTCGCGTGTTAATTTTTCTGTTTATAACACCTTATCAACCTCATTGTAGAGTCAGATAAATAAAAAAAGATAATGTAGTACCTCTTTATTCAAAGGCAGTATTTTTGATTCTCTCACATCAGATGTGATTGTAGCAGAAAAGAGAAGATTTTGCCTCTTCTGTGGCAAAGCGTTAAAGATAGTTTCTAAATCCTCTTGAAATGATTCACTGAACAATCTGCAATTAAGTGAAAACTTGTTTTGTTTGCCATTTTAATTTTTTTAATTAGTTGTTGTCTACAAAAAAAAAATCTAAGTAAATAGTGGTAACAACAAATACACTTATTTCTAAGTCCTCTTGAAATTATTCACTGAACAATCTGCAATTAAGTGAAAACTAGTTTTATTTGCCATCTTAATTGATGCTTATTATTTTTACAAAAAAAAATCTAAGGAAATAGTGGTAACAACAAATACACTCATGGACATATTTAAACAAATGCTAAAAAATTTTCAAATTATGACACTAATGTTCATCTTTGATCATCATCATCAACATTTGTTTTGAACACATCACACAAACATTTTTATGATATTACCCACTGTAATGTACGGCTGACGTACATGATGCACATGCGTTTTTTGTAAATGTACTATTATTAGTTTAAAAGAAAAAATATAACAATTAGGGTGGCATTGCTTCAGAGAATTCTCTGTAGCCATGGTAACAACCTACTATTCATTTTTATATAAGATAATTTATAATACAGAAAAGTATGTAATGCTTCGAATCATGTTGCCTTACCTATCAGCCTCATCCAATACTAAATATTTAATCTTCTTCAAAGAAAAGGTGTCACAGCCACTGATATGGTCTGCCAACCGACCAGGCATAGCGACAACTATGTGTGGGCGCTTGGCAAGCTTCAGTGATTCTTCCAGTTGGTCTGATCCACCAGTGACTATACAAACTCGGAGCTTCAAGGGCTGTCCAAGTATACTAAATTGATCACCAATCTAAATAAAATAAAACGATAATGTTTGTTAAATTTTTGTAATTTCTGAAGTTTTGACAATTTAAAGATCAGTTTAAATTGAGTTTATGATTTCAAAATCTTTTGAACTTATGATGCCTCTTTTTTATTTTAGCCCATCTGTAACACCGTCGGAGATAGTGCAATTACACGTAACTAGCATTGGATTATGAGTTTCCATTTCAGTAATTTAGTAGTCAAATCAAATTCGCGTAAATATCCTGGCAACCAAATTAGCGTGATTTCCGGAAATCTCTTGTTATCAGTCCGCAGACAATGAAAATGAATGCTTAATGTGCAAAAATGAAAGGCATAGCCATTGAAACACCAAAGTAATAATTTTAAATCCCTCTCCTATACAATTTGGTTTAGTGCAGATAGGCACCTTTTACCAATGTTACATATGTGGGTTTGCACTATCCCTGACAATACAGTATTTTGTAGTTCTGTGATGTATTTATTATTCTATCAATTTGTCTGTTTACTGCTTAAAGTACATTTAAGGAACTGCAGGTTTAGTCATAAGTTAATTTTCAATATTTATTATTTTTATTGTATATGTAATTTTTTGTTCCACAAACAGTTGTATCTTGTTCTTTTTACTTAAATGGTGAAAGTATTTAAATGTTGGGAGAAAACTTGCGTACCAGAGAAGTTTCAATTACAATGACATGATCATGAAACAAAATGTTGTTACCTGATATGCGAGCTCGTGTGTAGGTGTGAGAACCAAAGCAAATATTCCATATGGGTCTTCAGCCAAGGTTTGCAATATAGGAAGGGCAAAAGCAAAGGTTTTTCCAGAACCAGTTTTAGCTGCTCCTATACAGTCGTGACCAGAGAGGATTTGAGTTATACAACCATTCTGAATTGGTGTTGGCGTTCTTATACCTTATAAAAGACAATAAATAAGGGTATGAATATAGTAAGTATACTAGTGAAATTAAAATTCAATTATATTATTATATATTATTATTAATATTATTTAGTGTATTCTTCTCAGCTTGTTAGCTGGTTTGAACCACATTTACGGACCTAAGTCAAGTAAATGCAGCATGGTGTGTATCTACGAGTATGTGGTGGTTATTATGATTATCTATCTATTTTAGACTCAATTAAAGATTAATTTAAAATTCAATTATATAATTATTTATTAAGATCTACTTTTAACTACTAAGAACTTTGGTAAGTTATAACATTGTTTTTAAAATATTAATTCCTTAACCTTTAATCATACAAGGCTTCTGAAAGTTCCCAGAAGTTAATAATACTTTTATTTGGAACTAGAAAACTAAGAACTAATTACGCATTCGACAATCTTTGTAATAACACAAAGCTATTAATGGTGGGGCAGTAACTGGCATTATCTTTTATATTCAAGCATTTTGTTTTAAACTGTAAGATGAGGCAGAGAAGAAACAAAATGCACTTTCAGTTTTTGAAATTTACTTTTCCATTAAAACTAAAACCAGGAGGAAAATTATGATTTTTGTCTAATGATAGGTTATGTTATATACAAACCCAGACTGAATAACTGTTTTATCAGCCATTGCTTTACACCTAATTGAGAAAACTCTCTTCCATTCCTTTCGTCCATTTTTTAACTTATTGTCGAATAAAATTTACAGAAAATGCACGAAAACAACTCCACTTGACAGTCAATTGCAAAACATGTGTTATTGACATTTTAGAAATCGTCTTAAAATTATTATAATTAGACCTTTTTATTTTTAATTATTAGAGATTCTTCGTGACAATTTTTTCACGTTCAATTATTTTGTAAAATGCAGTATTTTTTATTTTTACATTTTACGAATTTGCACGATATTTTATGTGATAACCATGGATAGGAATAGGTAGAGTTTTTTCGAAGAACAGACAGAAAATGGAGACTGCCTTACGATACAAAAAATAATTGAACATCAATTCAATAAAAATTTAAAATGTAGCGAATAGCGATATCTCTCGCCAGGACTGGTAGCTATAAAGATACTAACTGGGTGATAAATCTTTCATAGATTTCTCAAAGATGGTGCTACGACTAAAAAGTCGTTGAAAAACCAAATACAAAGACACGACGCAAGCACATAGAAAAATTCGTGATGTCCGCTGGTTCATTCCGTGGCTTAGTTGGTATAGCGTCTGGCACGGTAAGCTAGAAGATGTCGGTTCGAATCCGGCCTAAGGGATCTAAGGGATTTTCACCAAGTGTATATTTATCACTGGTTGTTTACTTTCTCTGAAATAAAAGTACACTTAAAAAAAATTCATGACATGATTACTTACTACATATTTTTGAATACAATACAAAGTAGGTACTTGTTTTTGCAATATCTAATATAATATATATTATATATATATTACATATATTCGAAAATTAACAAACGTTTACATTTCATTGCGCGCGACACCTACGTATATACGTATTGTCTAAACAATGGTATAAAAATATTTACATTATCTTCAGTGTCTATTGTGCGTTCGCAGCCATACACTGATCCCTAGAAATTTTCAATGGCGGTATATGCGAACCATATAGGTCCATATACATCTTCCACCCCCACACCCGATATTATAGATTGTTTTTTTCTTACGAAGATACGCATGAAAATTTGCCATTAACTTCTTCGCTTTCAACTTATTGACTGGTAATCTTATGATATTAATACGGTTCCATGCATCGTGAACTATGTGTTTAATTTAATGGTTTGGATGTTTCGGGTTTCAAATGAGTTCTTAGGTTTCATACATATAGTTCTAGAAAATACAAGACCCGCGCATTACTCCAATCCATTTTGTACAACAGTATGTAACAGTTTATCTATATATAAAGTACTTTGTGGTTTATCTGAAGCGGGACGAATAAGGAAATGGCAGGCTTTTGAAGTTACAAGTACAGTCAAAAGACTGTAGTTGGAACTTTAAAAGCCTGCCATTTCCGTAGACTTACAAAGATTATTAATTCCATTTTAAGTAAATGATAAAGAACAAACGAAAAAAGAAATAGTGATGAAGAAAGTTAGAACTATATTCCTTAACTTAAACCAAATTACAAATACTTTATCCTGGAAATTCCACTAGTTATGAATTCAAAGTTTTTGTCCAAAGTGATAGAAGATAATTGTGATCTATGTGAAAGTGTAAATAAAAATATTCACCACCGCCGCTTAAAAGACTATGAAAAAAACCCGAATAAGAGAACTAAGTTATTTAAGCGAAATTGAAAACAATCTATTAGAACTACAATGGAAAATATTACTGAGTATCCGATAATTAAACGAAGACATGGCTCAAAGGACTTGTATCTAAGCCGAAACCATTAATAAAAAAAGGACGAATAAATAGTGTTGCCACTTATCTCCAGAAGGAAGTATTTAAACATAAGTAAAAAAGTTGCTAGATTGCGAGAAATTAATTTGGGATAAAATTGCCTAAAGTTGCTGAACAAAAACATAATTATGAGATTATGTTTTTGTATACATATTTTTCTTAACTTTACAAATTATAAATAGAAAAATTAATTACCATCAATATCAATCAAATCATTATCATCTTGTGATATTGAAGGTTAAGCTTTATTTTCGTTTTTTTCCAATTTTTTACTTTTCTTACTAAAAGAGCTAATAAAGCCAAAAAGTGGCACTATGATTAAAAACTGTAAAATAATAATAATTACAAAAACGCCTAAAAACAACAATAGCATCGCGAAAAAATGACTTGCACCAATAAGTTTTTCGAGTTCTTTAGCCTCTCAGTAAAAGACCATTTTCGTTTTCTCATTAAAGCGTAAAAGTCATCCACCCTGTTCAGGGCAAACATACCAGATGCGCTGCAACGCCATGACAAACCCAACATGGTACGAAATGCGTTATTATACTGCACCCGTAACATGCCGAATGACCGTTTAGTGTAGCTATACCACAGCTGACTGGTATTAAACGCCTGACAGTATGCCCGGAACAGGGTGATCTTTACCTGGTCTGAGCAGCGCGCAAACCGCCGTGCCAGCATATTGCTCTTTACAGAGATGGCTCGGCGCTGCCTCTCAAGGTCCTCATTATCCGTGAGTCTATCGGTAATAATGTGTCCTAGATATTTGAAAGTAGATACCACTTTTAATGTTGACCCAAGTAATGTAACGGGTGCAACAATCTCAGGCACTTTGTCATATTTGAATATCATAACTTCTCGTCTTTTTCACGTTGTAATGAAGACCATGAGAGACAGCATACCGCTCACATATGGCAATCAGTTTTCTCATTTCACTAATAGAGGGACTTAACAATGCCATATCGTCAGCGTAGCTGAAGTTGTTTGCACATTCTCCAGCGACGTGACAACCGACTCCTGCACTGCTAAGTTCCTCCATCAGGTCATTAACATAAAGGTTAAACAAGACCGGTGACATCAGCCAGCCCTGCCTAACCCCGCAGACCATCCTGTATTCCTCAGAGAACGCATCTTCCCAGCGTAAGACGTTAATTTGATTCCCGTACCAGTATCTCAACAGACATGTTACACTAATTGGCACACCAGCTTTCATCATTTTTGACCATAGTAGCTGGTAGTTTATGGTGTCAAAAGCACGGCTTAGGTCGAGAAAGCAGCCATACACAGTTGTTTTTCTTTTTAAGTAATGCTTTATGGTATTTTTTAGGCAATATATAGCCATGTCTGTTGAGAGACCGGGCCGAAATCCAAACTGCGCTTCATTTAATTTTACAGCTTCCGTAATAGATGGATGTATTAGTCGTTCTAGTACTTTTGAAAGTATTGTTGCGAGAGAGATGGGTCGGTAGTTTGAGGGATTGCTCAGATCACCGGTCCTGTTCTTCACTATAGGAACAACATTCGTTCGCATGAAATCCGCAGGCAAATAACTGTTTGAAATGCAACTATTAAAAAGTATAGCTATGTATTCATGCAGCAGCGGCCCACCATAAAGAATGTGTTCAATACTTAAACTGTCGTGACCAGGCGATTTACCACGTTTCATTTTACGTATACAGTTCCAGATTTGTTCTGGTTTAAAGTGTAATTTCGTTTCCACCACCCGGTCACGACAGCCAGATGCGCCGTCACCAACGGGTGGTAAAGAGCTCAATGAATTCTCCACATTAAATTGCGACATGAACACATTAGCAATATCTTCTCCAGTATGACGGCCGCTAACTGTAATAGGTCTACTTTGTTTAAAATTTAGTTTGTTAGTGTCTTTCCAAAATTGACTAAAATTTCCTTTAGATCTGTGCAAGGCTATAATGTCCATATTTATTTTTTCTTGATTTCGCTGACACCATTTTAATTTATTTTAAAACAAATATACAAAAATATTTTACTTTGTTCATAAATAGGTTTATAATAACTGCTGCAGATTATTTTCATCCGCCTCTTCTAGTAGTAATAAGCATCTACGACCCTTGTGAGAGAGCAAAGAAAGTCATCCTATTTTATTCACTCCCATCGCCGAAATGGCCCGATTTGAAGAGAACTACAACGAGTGGCGCGCTCAGTCACCACGGAACGGAGATCGCGCATTGTATCAAATACGTATGTCGTGATGTGAGTGATGGGGACAGCTATTGGAACGGAGGAACACCTATGTGACTTTGGAACGTCGTTCCGTGCAACGAGTCACGGTAATACTGTTTGACGGCGGATCATCGTGACTTTTTCATCGTGACGTTATTTATCACCCACCTCTACACACCTCTATGCGTGTCGTGCATCGCATCGCTATTCGCATCGCCTATCGCACAAATGTGACAGCGTGGCGTATCGCACGAATGTGTGAACGCGTTTCAACCAGTCGACACGAATGTTTCGTCGAAAATGTTTCGTCGATTGTTTCGACGAAACATTAGTGTATTGCTAGCACGATAGTAAAAACGCGGTGTAACGCGAAGTTAATGGAAAAAAAAAAAAAAACGTTAATTGGTTGTATGGCGCAATAGTGCCTTTGCCTTTTCCAATGGAAAAAAACAGTACCAAAAAAAAAATAACGCCTTGAAAGTGGCGAACTTCATGTCATGTCAGTATTTTTGATTATTGTATCACTAGCAAGTGCTCGTTAAGTGAAGTTGTCTCGTGGTCTTGAAAGACGTGGAATCGTGGCCGGTGCGTGAATGATTTAATTTCGAATAAAATCGGTTTATTTCGATTTATAAACGCGTAGCTATGATTTAGCGTTACTGTTCGTAGTAATATTTCCGGGGCAGTTTAAAAGAACTTTATAGTGCATAGTGAATTTAACATTTTAAATTCCGCTACCTACTCTACTGCTTTCACGGTGTACATGTATGTGCACACAAATACGCCAGGATTTCCCATAATTTAATTGCAACCGTAAGTATTTGACTAAACTTTTATTTTTCTTACACAATACCGACCTTTGGGTAAGTTTAATTATCGTAGAACGAAACAATGCCATCCAACTTCGGTGTATAAGTAAGAATTATGAGTTTCATTTGTTTAGAAATCAATAAAATCTTTATTAAGGAAAACGCACTGAATTCCAACTTATGAAAGCACAACATAGCAACTCGCCTAATTATAACAACATTGACATGCAAGCGTTTATATGGCTACTACAGAAACGTGTTTAAAATTGGCATCAATTCGGTCTACAGCAAAAACATTGTATGAGTTTTATATAACCTTTGCGCTGGCAAGTAAGTGCAGTGTTGATAAGCATTTTGTGTATTGTATTTTATGTACTCGCACATGTTTTGTACAAAATGTTCTTTTTATAAAAGTTGGTAGAATTATAAAGAGTGCAAAGTCCGTTTTTAAGAATACTGTCATTTGAGTATGTTCCTATATTTAAGTTGAGTACTACATGTACTGACAGTGCAATAACTACAAAAGGGGCATATTATATACTTACATGGGGTAGTCTGGATACCATTACATAAATATTGAATGTGTGAAAATTGGCAGTGAAAATTTGTTGTTTTATTGAAATGTCAATAGGTGTATATAATTCATGGTGAAATATATACACTAAATGTACCAAAATGGTGATAAGAGCCATAATTAGCTAATTATTATACTTTACTGTTTATAATTTAAAAATATTTTGTTGTTTGCAATATATTAAAAATATTTTCTAATTTTAAAGTTGCTGAACATATTTTGTGTTTATAAATAGAGCATCATACAACATCCGCTCTTAATTGTGAACATAGAGCTCTCCACAAAAACTGCCTAGAAAGGACATTTCCAATGTGTTCAAACAAAGTTGTTTAGAACAAACAAAACATGGCAATTTTGTCTACTTTAAATAGTATCATTAAGAAATACTTATTGTAACTACTACTTACTATATTAATTACTACTTATTATAACTACCTCCATGGCCGAACGGCTACCTTGCCGGACTGCCATGCAGAGGTCCCAGGTTCCATTCCTGGGCCGGGAGAAATATTTGTATGGCCTACATTTATTTCTCTCATGAGTTTGGGTGTAATTTGCGATGTGTGTGTCCATGGCACCCGCGACACAGGGTTTCCCAAGTGTGGGGCTATGTTGAGTGTGTGCGTTATTATTATTATCAATGTAGTTTTATCACTAATTTCCTTGTAAAATTAAATGCAAATCCATTGACATACAATTATATGGATGTTGGGTCTGCGCTAAAAAGCGTCCGAACTTATAGGGTGTTAAAATTGTATACAGAGTGTCATTCACGCTCTAGTCTTCATTTGTTTGACTGACAGCAAAGCAAGCAAAATTAGACAGTACTGCGATGACATTACAATTTAATTTCAACGTTTTAATTTAAATTTTTTATATTCCTTGTCATGTCACTACATTTAAATAGGTTGACTTGGGACATTTTTTTCGTGGTTTTTGTATTAGAGCCGTCGTCCATTTATTTGTAAGTCAATGTGCAAATCACAATCATTAATACCTACTTACTTGGTACTTGGTGCAACGGGCTGGTATCCGCAACTCGACGACAAAGCGCCTATTTTGCTTGTGGTGGGTGCAGGGTCCTACTCGTGCCACCCAAGCTCCTCCAGGAATCTCAGCAGCCTCCTTGGTTTGCTGAAGACTTCGGGGAGCGACCTTGGCACTCCAACGTATTTTGCCCTGTAGTTGGCCACGCCGGAGCACTGAAGTAGGATGTGTGCAGCCGTTTCCTCCCCCTTCATGCACGCTCTGCATAGAGGGCTGTCTGTGATACCTAAATTGAAAAGGTGTTTATTGTATGGACCATGACCCGTTAGGGCGGCAGTTAGAGTGCGAAGCTCTTGCCTTTTAAGTTTAATTAGTATTCGAGATAGACTGGCGTTGAGCGTTGGGAGTGCTTCCCTCGCCTGTCTACAAACTGTAAGGGTGGTCCATGTATTATTATGTAAAGATTTTGTACCTTTGTGTATAGGTGTTGTGGACCATTGGCAGGGGAGAGACACTATCGGTTCTGGTCCTACAGCGTCCGTCTCCGACCCTTTCCTGGCTAGTTCATCTGCTGCGTCATTGCCACGTGAGCCGCTGTGTCCTTTAATCCACTGAAGAGTTACGTGGTTTTGTATACATACCTCCATGAGTGCTTGATGGCATTCGTAAATGAGCCCTGAGTTTATGTCATAGCTATTCAGTGCTTGAAGTACTGACATACTGTCGGAGAGTATTCGAATGGAGTAGTTCTTTACTCTTCTCGCTATGATTGCTTCTGCCGCCAACTTGATGCCCATGCATTCAGCCTGGAATACTGTGTTGTGGTCAACAAGTTATGTGCGTGTATCACATGTGTGACACTTGGGAAAAATGAGAAACGGGAAGGGGGTTTATGGAAATGATTTTTTTATTAGTAAGTGTAATAACTAAAACATCTGTCAAAATAACTCTAAACATGCAAAAATTCTAAGTGATGCATTAAGCAAAGAACTAGTACATGCATGCACCATGTATGTGGCACTAAGTAAAGAACTCATGTGTATCACATGTGGGACACTTGGGAAAATTGAGAAAATGGAAGGGGTTTATGGATATGATTTAGCAATCCATAAATGTATTAATATAAACCAATTCCAACATATTTACAAAATAAAAAAAATAATGTGAAGGGTCAATTTCTGATTTCCAGTTACACAGGGAACATGTTAAAATGGATGCATTCATCACTTTGAAATTGTATTTGATTATTATCAATTATTTCATGATTTATTTGTATCTTCAAAGAATTCCAATACTTTTTCATACTACAGTAAGTATCAAAATCAAATGTTTGCAAATAATTTGTATGCAAAAATAATGGACATAGTATTTGTAACAACTATTATTTTTTTAATTTAAAATTTAATGAGAAATACCAAGATCGAGTATAATAAGGTAGTTTATTTTAAATCACTTATTTATAATAAATTATGTTGCAACTTGTACTTACAATAAATTTTATAGACGTTTATGATTTTTATTTTTTTTGTATACAGGGTTATTTTTAAAATACTAACAACCTCTCGAGCGATAGTAATATCGCAACCGATTGTATATAGCGCCGTATTACTTTACGGCTAGCCGCTTTGCAAAATGGCCCTGTTTTCTAGTACGACTACCTCTGTTCGACCGGATTGTGACCACGATACGTTCTAAGAAGCGGTGGCCACGTTTAGCCGTATTGTTCACAGGGAAAATGGCACCCTGACTGAATTATATACGGTTAAAAGTTGCGCCCTCGCATTCAATGTGTTAGCTTAGTATATGAAAAAGCAACATGAACCGAGCGCGAGCGAGCGAAGCGATCGTGCCGCGAGAGAGGCTGGCGAATGCCCGAAGCGAATATGTTTGGGTTTCCGAACATGTTTCCAGGTGAAATTATATTATATCTAATTCATTATTATTTTCACGCATATTTTTACTTTTTCCACGCCTGAAATTAATATTGTTTTTTACTTTGTTGAGACTTGTTGAGTTTGTTGTTATGATAATGTAGCTCTACCTGCGGCTATATTTGGAACTATAATAATATTTTTTCATAGTCCTGCGAGGTTATTAATATTTTTTTTAAATAACCCTGGTATATACTGTAATATTATTAATTCAGAACACACTATTTAACCTTTTGAATAGAACGGTACTGTACTGACTTGCATAAATAATAAGTAATAATGGCATTAAGCATTGTGTAAACTTTACTTGCAAATTTGTAAAATATAAAAATTACGTAACCTAATAACCTTAGCAACCATTCTGTCACGTTGTCCCTTGCAGGTTGCTAGTCCTGGATACATGCCCTAGGATATTGTTCCTGTTGCGAAATTAGGGTCTTTAGCTGCTCTCCACCAAACTTTTGGGGGTTTTATGAAATATTGTTATAACGTAGCAAGTGGGTTAATAAATAGGAATAAAATAAAACAAGAAATATATGTTGGCAAATATTGTGCATAATATTTAGTTAACATATAGGAACAAATAATGTGAAACTAAGAAAATATAGATATAACAGTAGATCATAGGATATCACTCAAAATGTAATAGAGATAAGAAAACATTGCAATAAAAAATAAGCTAAGTTAAAAAATTTAATAAGTTAAGTATTTTGATTCTAAAAAGTAACAAGTGAAGACAAGAAATGTAGTTAGGAAAAAAGAAAGCATACAGCGGCAAATTATTGCTTGCCTCCTGTTCCTAGTTTAAATAAATAAATATGTAATGTAGGCAGTAGGTAGAGTCTAGTAGATGGGAACACCCACCCATTATAGTGCGAAAGAGATAGTAAGAAACAGTATTGTATAATGAAAGTGCGAGAGGAATAACAACGAGAACTAGTATGAAAGAGTAAATTAGTTAAACAAAGACTCTCTCGTTTAAGTCGGAGGTAAAAGAATAATAAAAAAAACCTTTTGGGGGAGCTTTGGAACTCTTAGAAAAACGTACCCAAGTCACGCGGTTCTTGCGTAGAGTAATGAAAGTAACGCTCGGTCCACATGAATTTATTATAGAAATATAACAGTAGGAAAAGGTGAAGGAAGGATCAGCTCTAACAAAAACAGATAGGTATAAAAACAAATAATTTAAAAAAATCCGTACAGATTAGAACGTTTATTTGTTTATTATTAAATGACTAGTGGACTTACCCCAAAAAGGTCTGTATACGTATTATATGAACAGTTAGGTTACAAGATTAAGCGCACGTCTGCTCGCCTCGAGAATTTTGTATGGAGTGATGACGGAACGAAGCAAAGTAGGGATGGCGAAGAAAAACAATTAGAGAAAGATTCAAAATTTCAAAAGTAAGTGGCCTGGAACCAGAGAAAAGGTGCGATAAAAGGTGGGATCACATGAAACTCATAAAAATAATTCCTACGCCCAATTTCATTCATTCATAGAATCTTTAAATATCTGCTGGAAAGTTGTCATTTTGCGAATGTGGCCTTATTACATACACCAAGGATGTGAAATATTAAATGCAGACTAGCATATTCATCATAAATGTGATAGAAGTGATGCTGATAACTTATGGATGTAAATAGTAGTACTTTATTACAGAAAACAGGAAATAAGCAATTGTTGAAAGAGTAAGCGAGGTATTCCAAGACAAGTCCAGCAATTGCCATTTCCGTCGAAGATTATCAGCTGCTCTCAAACAATGCAAAGAAATATTAAAGAAATTTTCAGAAAACAATTTTGTGTATAAATTAGTGAATCGATACGAAATAACATTTACAAATAATAAATTTAACAGACATCCAAAGGAATGTCTTTCGGCGCTCTGATCATGAGCGTGCGATTCTGGCGTGGCATTCCTAAGCCACCAGCTTAATGCGATAAGTATGGTGCGTCGCGCCTTCCATATTTAGGAACGCGACGTTGTTAGTAATATCTGTTGCGGTATATTTTGCAAAATTTCTTTCGTCTTTTTTTTTGAGTATAATGCCTACATTTCTGAACAATTTAAAAGAAAGATAAAGAAAAATATCTGCATTATATGTATACGTGTATAAATTTTTAATAATTATTTTTGTGTTGTTTTAGGTACACGCAGTTGTCGAAAATGAGTGTAATCCGGACGTTGTTCTCTCTAGCTGTCCATAATGGGAAACAGGGACTGCGGAATAGCGGAACTGTAAGTGCATATTTTAAGGTTTTTAATTCCTAGAAAACTTATTAGCTGATAATTGAACTGCCTCCGTGGCCGAACGGTTACCATGCCGGACTGCCATGCAGAGGTCCTGGGTTCGATTCCCAGGCCGGGAGATATATGTGTATGGCCTAAATTTATTTCTCTAGTTTGGATGTAATTTGTGGATGTCTATGGTGCGTCCATGGCACCCGCGTCACAGTGTTTCCCTAGTGCGGGGCTATGTTGAGTGTGTGCGTTATTATTATTATTATTATTATAATTATACTCCACTGCAGTAGAGTTCTCCAGAGTCTACGCTTTAATATAAACATAATCGCCACCCTTAAAAAGCTAGTTGCCCACCCGTTTCCCCTTGGCGATATAAAACACGAGAACTCTTTTTATTAGACATAGACATGACCCGAAGCTAGCTGTCGCAACATAAAACACGGGAAGATTTTTTTATTAGACATAATCGCCACCCATGGCTAACCGTGGCAATATAAAACACATCACATTTGACGTCATAATGGTCGTAATTTGTCACCTGTCCCTTTCAGTTCGTGCACACCCTTCACTATAACGTGTTATATATTAAGGTTCGTATTCTAGAACTCTACTCGATGCTCAAGTCAGGATTGCAATGGAAACACAAGCACTGGAAATACGACCCTAATGGTAGCGACTTGAGTATGATTTCGAGTGCTTTAAACCATACTCAAATCCTGACTTGAGCATTGAGTAGAGTTTTAGAATACGACCCTAAGAATGCCAACAGGCACTAGATTTAAACAATCCATTAATCTCATCGCCATTTCGCAATTAAATATAGAAGTAGGTAAAAGCGGTTATAGAAAACAAACAGCACCCTGCTAACAACCCGAGACGGGGCACGTGCAAGCGTCACGTGCCCATTTCGTTGGTGCAATGGAAAGTTCCACGACGCTAAACAGGTAGCTATTAAAAATTACATTTGTGTGCTTAGGCTTTTCTTCTTCATCTCATAATATTATACACGAAGAACGGAATTTATAGACGAAGCTATAAATGCACGTAAAATCACAGATGAAATGAAGAGGCCAGGGAAGAATGATCAAAGTCACTTAAAACACGTTTTGAGTTAATACCGCCATCCATTCGGTAAACTCAGAGCAAATTTTGCCTAAATTAGAAAAAGGCTAATAGGTAATATAAGGTTCAATGTCGTGAAAAATTAGCTTTTACTTTTAGTCTTAAAAATTGCTTACGACTAAATGGTAGAGAAGTTAAAAATTATTTATAAATGTTTTTTAGCTAAAGTGGATTACATAGCATTAAATACATTTATGTCAGCTTTGACTTTGTTTCGGGTAGTATTTGCGCGTGTCTTTTTCACCAACGTTTAAAAGTTCCCAAATTAAAAATTCTTTTTTTACCAAAATTCTCAAGTGATTTTGATCATTCTTTCCCTGGACTCTTCAAATCGAAATAACGAAAAACCTTTATGGTCTTTTTACAGTACCCGAATTAAAGTTAGTTTCAGAAAACTTGGAATATTGATTTATTGAATGATGTTTTACTAACATGATACTTTTCATATATTTTTTGTGACTTATTATGTCAATGCTTATTATTATCAATACAAAGATCAAAGAACACAAGAAAAAAACGCTTCGACTTGAGTGGACTCAAACCAATGTTTGTTGCCTTGACGACTTCGGTGGCCTAACGGTTTACATTGTGGTCACTGTATACGGAGGTCCCTTGTTCGATTCCCTGTAAGGCCAATTTGGGATTTGGGCTTTTCTAAATTGGTTTTGGTCTGGGTGTTCTGCGAAGAGCCCCAGATTTCCGTTGCCCTGGTACTCATAGTACATGGAATTCCCTAGTTTGAGACCGGCAATTGGAGTGGTTGTCTGGCACATATCATCATATTATACCAAGGCTCTTAACCAACTGAGTTGGTGAAATTACAGACACATGAGACTTGTGACTTTATGTCTCAGGGTGACATGGGCACACAGGCGCACTGACAGCGCCCCTCCAATCTTTGCGTTTAAAGGCTGGTTCATTTTACACCGTGCCGTGTTGTTTCCACCGTGGGCCGGCCGGGCTGATATTGTTTTCCAAACTAAATTTTTGTGTTTTTATCCAAATACTGAACATGGGGTACATGCGCACACATTCTAATAATTTTTCGTCCTCCATTTTGCCCTTGCGCTGTCCACTACACTATATTCCAACGTTGACTACCCTCCGGGTGCCCGGTGGATCATTCATGTTACGTCGTGTCGCGATCGAGCCGGGATGGAACCGGGAAAAAGTACGCGACGCATGAAGTGCTTTAGTGCACGGTGTAACAGGAATCCGCCTTTAAAGCTCTAAGTGGCACTACATCTGTTATGGAGATACAAAACTAAACAGCTACAGAACGAATCAGAAGATCTTATGAATTTCTCTATCAATATAGAGAAAAACCCAATGCTTTAAAAAAGTTTCAGTAAACTTTTCAAACAAATTTGAAAGTCCGAATGCTCATTGATAAAGCGTGGTGCGTGTACAACTAAAGGCTTTCCGCATCAGTAGTTGACATATCGCACTTCTATTATAATAGTATTGTAATTTAAAATATGTGAAATGCAAAATTTTACCATTGCTGAACGTAAAATTGGATTATCCACACTTGAATTAACCTGTCGTTAGAATATTTTAAGGAACAATTAAAAAATATTTACTTAGCTCAAAATGAGACAAACTTTATGTGAGCTAGTTCTAGCCAGAACAGTCCTTATTTAAATAATAGGGGTTAAAGTATGAAATTGCCGATTTGTACTGAAAATCTAAATTGTTTATTTTTTAAATTTTTAACAAATTTATTTAATCAAAATAGTCGCCATTATTATCTATACATTGCTGCCATCTAATGGGAAGGTTATTAATGCCTTTGCGATAGAACTCCGACGATCTAGACTGGACAAACTGTGTGAAAGCATTTTGTACTGCCTCCTGGGAAGAAAACTTCTTGTCACGTAGATAATTGTCCAAATCACGAAAAAAATGGTAGTCCGTTGGAGCAAGGTCTGGTGAATACGGAGGATGACGAATGGTTTCTAACTGCAGTTCCTGAAGGGTCAAAATGGTTTCTCGTGCTGTGTGAGGTCTCGCGTTGTCGTGGAGCAATAATGGTGAAGATCGATTCATGAGTCGGGGCTGTTTTACTGCTAGTTTTGTCAACATGGTTCGGAGTTCGGCACAATAGACATCTGCCGTTATTGCTTGACCAGATCGGAGAAAACTATAGTGAATAACACCATGCTGAGACCACCAAACAGTTACCATTACCTTTTTATTGGTAAGTTTTGCTTTAGGACACTGTTGTGGCATTTGACCTGGGGTCAGCCATTGCATTTTTGTTTTCCGGTTATCATAAAGAATCTACTTTTCATCACATGTTACAATTCGATCCAATATTCCTTCATTTCTGTACCGGTTCAACAAGGCAACACAAGTTTCAACACGCGTTTCTTTCTGCAGATCAGTCAAATCATGAGGCACCCATTTTTCGTATTTTTTTATTTTATTGATTTGACGCAAGTGAGTCAATATTGTGGGTAAGGTAACGTTAAACCATGCCGCTAATTCCTGGGTAGTTTGACTAGGATCGGCTTCCACTATCTCTCTTAATTCATCGTTATTCACCTGTGTGGGCGGTCTTCCTCGTGGCTCGTTCTTTAAGTCGAAATTTCCATCACGAAAGCGTTTAAACCAAAATCGCACGGTGCGTTCATTAGTAGACCCGTCTCCAAACGCAGCATTGATATTGCGGGCTGTTTCTGCCGCGTTAGTTCCGCGTCGGAACTCGTATTCAAAAATCACTCGAATTTTCGCAGTATCCATCTTTCTTGTCTAAATTGAATAACAAAAACAATTGAAAGTCGATATTCAAATGTTTCAAATTAAAAAAAAAAAAATCACAGAAACCATTTGAAAAAAGTTTCATTCGAAAACCTCAAACCATGAAGATTCTATGAAAATTCAAAGAACCTATTGCAATAAAACGGCAATTTCATACTTTAACCCCTAATATATGAAATGATTTTTTCACTTCTATTTTTAAGTATATTTGGCAAGTTTAGATGTCTACAGACATCTAAATTTGTCAAATACATATATAAACTACCTATATAACTGTATAAACGTTAACCTATACATAAGATTTAATAATCTTTCACGGGAAGGACTATTTCGTTTTTCGTCGATTCTGAAAAATACACTTTTTGAGTTAATACACTATTATATTAACAGTGCGATATGTGATCTTGATACGAATTTATGCGTTTTTCGTCACAAAGTTACTTACAGAGCATGTTTCAGTGCGTAGTGTATATTTTCATGCAATGAAAAGGCACATTTTTGCATTGGGATCTTTCCTAACTATGATGTGGAGTAGATAATGGAGTGAGTATACGTCTTTGTTTTGATACTTACCGATGCATTGGAAAATTTCAAATGTATGGACTTCAATCCGTTTTACAGTACACAGTAAGTTTTGTTAGGCACTTTTATTAATAAAGTTAAGTTACGAAAGATCGGAAAGCCTTGTGCCGCCACTGGGTGACAGAAGACGAGGAAATGTCTGACACAAAAGCAGGATTTCAAAACTACATTAATAATTAATTATTTGACCGGTGATTGACACGGTGACTTTAAACAAGACAATTGCCAGTCGTTGTATTGAAACTTTAATATACGTAAATTCAATTACAGTATTTAGATTCTCCAAAGCAAAATTTCACCAATAATCTCTTTTGGGTACAATATACTAAGAATTATCAATCGCTATTGTATAAAAAAAGATAACATATTAGCAGACATCACATCAATGAATTACTCGGTATCGAGCAAAACACGTGGGATGGGAGTGATCAATAGCGAAAACGTCAAAATTATGCGCTACAAGTTTAATGGCAAATACCTTTAGAATTGGCTTAAAGGTCAAAATGTACAAAATGTGTTATAAATAC